CTCCTGAGGGTGCGAACTGACGCGCAATTCGCATGGAAAAATTTGACCTCGGCGACCTATCATGCCTCAAAGCTGGCGGGTCCGGCGATCTCCGCCCACCGATCATCTGATCACTCGCCGTAGTTCAATACGTGGCGAGTGATTAGATAGCTGAGAGAGCGTAGTGTTGAAGAGGGCACAGCGATGAGAGTCGCATCAATGCTCGAATCAACGGGCAAGGAAGGGGTACCATTTCTCGGGTTCTGGGCCGTTTCTCATGGTTCTTCCTTCTTTCGTGTACCACTCACCATCCCTAGGTTAATTTGAAATGGGTTGCTTTTTCATCGTGAATTCGTCCTTAAAGGAAGTGGTCCAAAGCAAACCATCAGACAGACACAGACACCGAGAACGAGAGCAGCAGATTTTACCAAGAGAGCATAAGTAGACGAAACGCAGACATCACTTCCACTTCGGGAGGGTGTGCATAATGCAAGGAAGTGATGGATGCACTCCATAAGCTCTCATCCTGCAGAGTGGCTAAACCTGCGGCTGATTCATGATAAATGAATGTTTCAATAAATTGATCGCAGAGGTGCCTTTAAGTATTGCAGGATTCCCCATTCTAAAGAATATGTTGTGCTGTGTAAAGCTATTATACTTCTGTGAGATAATCAGCTCACGTGGATTTTAACCCAAGACATTGCATTACCTATGGAAGCAGTGAAAGGGGGTGAAGGGGGAGGAGCGCTTTTCAATATCGATCAACCTCCGTTCATACCGCATAAAATAGGAAGGTTTCTTGCACCCTTTCTGATATAGAAGCAGTCTGTCAATTGAATCAGCTAAGCACCGTCTATTTCGAAAGACGAGAAGAGCGTCGAGTGCAGATCACACACCACAAGGACGAGCCAACGAAAAATGCGGCTTTTTTAGCCGTCGTCACTTGGGGTGTGTGGTCCGCACTTGACTCTCTTTTTATCTTCCGAAATAGAGGGTACTTGCTCATGGTCTTATCAACCCTTAGAACTTGCGAACACTGGCTGTGATTTTCCGTAGAGCATACAACACGCCGACCGAACGATCATTTTCCACACATGTCTTCAATAAATGAACTGAACCAAACGCTACAGACACTGAAACTAATCTGAATCTGGCCTTGGAATGCTTTTCTTCCACAGTTTTGCCCTATGATTGACTCTTTACAAAAATATGCTATGCTTATTTATTGTTGATCGGTTAATTTAGGCTGTCTGCTCCAGTCGCACAATATAGGGTGGTAATGCATATTTTACGATGTTCAATTGGTTGCCCAGCTATTTTCATGAGTCGTTTCCAGAAGCGCAGGTACTGTATCATTGTTTCTGGATCATCCTTTACATGAAATATTATTGCTGTGAAATAATCATATCTGATCACAACGCCAACAAGGGCGTGTGTGCACTAGCGCTTAAGCGGTAGTGGCGCCTGCCCCACTCGGACGAGTTTCGCGACAATGTGTGTCCGAACGTCCTAAGAACCGCGTGTAACCATCCGAGGCCTAATTTTCAACTTGTTAAATCCACAAAAAACTTGCAAGCAGCACTTAAATGCAATTAACAAATATTTCGAGTAGTCATCAACTAAAACTTTTATCAAACAAAATGTCTATTTTTTCAGGGTATTGTTTACAATGTAGTTCCGAACATAGCGATCGTAATCACAGCGATGTTGGCTCCATTCATAGCGACACGATTGTTGAGTGGTGGTCGATCGATGACGGTCACCAGAAAACTCATGGAGGTATTAGTGTCATTGCATAATTGTGTCGATAGTAAATTGTTAGAGAGAGTGGAAGATTTCACTCCCTCTAATAGTTAGTATAGTAGATTCAACACATGACTTCAACATGAAGTGACTAGTACATTTATTTGTATGCCTGTTCAATACGTATCCTGTTTCGAAAACCAGATGCATGTCGAGTGCAGACCACACACCACAAGTGACGACGGCCTCCACAAAATGTAAATGTTTTCTGCCAATGAAATGATTAGCCTGTTGCAGTTGTATTCTATCAGTTGTCACTAATTACAGCTATCATTTACCAACTATCAGCTATCACTATGAACCACTAGTAACCAGATTTACTTGGAGGCCGTCGTCACTTGTGGTGTGTGGTCTGCACTCGACGCGCATGTGGTTTTCGGAAACGTTACCGGCTCTCACAAAGATCTTATGATACCGTACTTCCACCGTAATCTTCAGGGAGTTTCATTGATCGGTGTGGCTCTGTGCCTGTTCCTCGTACCATGCACGTCATCGTTCACGCCTGCTCTTCTGATATTTACCATGGCGATGGCTTGTCGAGGATTGCACCACGGAGGCGTATCCGTGAACCCACACGATTTCGCTCCTCATCACACAGGAGCCGTTTTTGGTCAGTTGCTGTTTGTTTTTTCCTTAAAAGAAATACAATAGGAACCTATGGGACCATGTCCACGGTCAGTGAACAGTTACGGAGAGGAGAAAAAAGCAGCGATAAAGTTGTATTGACAAGCACTTCTCCCAAAATGGTCAGTAGGCGGAATCAAATGATAGATATTTATTGCATCATTTCGTTAATTTTTTGATCCACAAGTTCTGAAACTCGGTGAACGGAGGTAGGAAATACCCTCTATTTCGGAAGACGAGAAGACGTCGAGTACAGACCACACACCACAAATGACGACGGAAGAAAAAGCCACTTTTTCCGTGGTCGTCGTCACTTGTGGTGTGTGGTCTGCACTCGACACTCTTCTCGTCTTCCGAGATAGGCCGATGTCAGACTTTGCGAATCGCGCGATTCGCTAGCGTCTGCGGTCGCGTCGCGGCCAGTGAATCACTCAATTGGCTGGTACCGCAACGCGACCGCGGACGCTAGCGAATCGCGCGAATCGCTAGTAGCGAATCGCGCGATTCGCAAAGTCTGACATCGGCCTTATAACTGCGCATCTCTCGTTCTCCCGAACCAAAAACCCTTTGAAATTTTCACAGAAAGGGCGGGGCTGGGAACAACTCGGTCAACCTTACAAGTCACAGCGCGCGCCGCATGATGACCCTTGTCGTGTTAGTAGCGGAAAACACAAGGGTGCGGCCCTGCGTCGCGCGCGCGATGCGCGGTAAGGTGAGTCGTGCGTGATGGCACACACTAAAAAGTTATGATCTGTCTTTTCAGGCATTTTCAATGCATGCGGAGCGATCACAGGTTTTATCGGCGTCTATGTGGCCGGTCACATCCTCGACGCCACCAATAATAATTGGTCTTACGTCTTCATTATTACGGGTGTACAGTGTGTTATTGGAGCGATTGTTTATGGACGATACGGGACGGGCACAAAGATCATCTAAATTTTGGTGATTCATCCAAGAATCACATTAGCTCATAATGTAGTTTATTTACGTGAATTCATGTTGAAAGGCCAACGTTGTCCCAAAACTCGCGCATATGCACGACTTTTGAGACAATAAAATCACATTCATCGCGGTAGCATGATTTATATCAAAATTGTGCAATGCTTTACAATTGATGCAGTATAGTATGTGGCCATTATTAAATAATCGTGATTTGTATGAAATCAGGCCTTTATTTGTCGCTATTCGTTAAATAGTCATCAGGCTATCATGCTCTCTAGAAAGTCAGACCTATTCAAAAAAAACTTGACCTAATTTTTTTTAACAATCATCCCTTTGTCTTTCGGTCGTTCAACTCATTTTTGTTATTGGACAAGTTTTATTGTCTGTATACGATATTAACGGTATCTGTTGCATAACCTAGTTTTCGTTTAGTGTTATGAATAAATTTTTATAATATGATTAAATGTTCTCGGCGGTGGGTGGATTTTGGAAGGCGGAGACCTTTTCAAAGCCAGTAAAGGATAATGGATAGAGCAATATTGAAGATGCGCCGTGCATTTTACGCCCATTTCATAATCGCAGTAGCTATTCGAATGCGATGTGGCCTATACAATGACTTGCGGGGCCAGCCGATGTTCAAGTCAGTGTTTTTATCCTCCCAGACAAGTCTGGTACCAATTAACCGACCCCGGAGGGATGGAAGGCTTGGTTGGCCCGGAATGGCGCACGACACGGAATTTGATCCTCGCATCGTGACGGTGCATGGTGATAAGCAGTGCCATTTGCCACAACACTACTTCCGCTCTTTACGTTCACGTAGGTAT